GGACCGGGGGTGAAAGAGGACGGAGGGGGCAGATAGTGTGGCCGGATAATAATGGACGGGACGGGATGAGCACTGGAGTTATGCATGTTGGAAGAGGAAGGGACGTTGGAGAGTTGATGTCTCTGTGCCTGCGGTTGTCGTTCGTCGTTCGTCGTACCTGACAGTTTGTCATTCTGCGCACCTCACACTCACCTCTGTGCTGTGTCGTGCCTGCCTTGCCTGGCTGTCTGGAGGGGGAGCAGGAGGGGAGGTGGGCTGCCTTGGGACGGGATTGGCAGGACGGGAAGGAGCGAGAAAGAAGCCGAGCGAGGGATGCCAGTCGAAGGCCAATGGCGGAGCATCACTGGCTAGCGCGAGAAGAAAACGGTGGGGCTGACGCCGTTGCGATTCACATTGTTTTGATGATTGCGCGCACTGTAACGGCGCCCGGGTTTGTCGTGTTGAAACACCGTGCCAATTGTGGGGTTCGGACGACTTCACACACCTACGTCCAGGGAGACGCCGGACGAGGGAAGGCAAGGCGCTGCACGGATACCCACGACAGTCAACGTAAGGCAGGAAGGGCCGCCGGATACATTGGTGCGGGCAGGCACGCAGGGACAGGAAAGAGCAGTGGAGGAAGGAGAAAGTGAGAGGGAAGGAAAGAGCACGCTTGGCGCTTCACTCACTGTGAGAGGCAAGAGACACCTTCTCCGTGCCCTGCTCCTGCTCCAGCACTCGCTGTCCGACTCGACTCCCATCGCGTCCTGCCCTGGCGGCGAGGCTTCCTCCTGAGCGTTCCTTGGTCCAGAAACAATCAAACGGAGCGCGACTTAATTGCTGCCGGGATGCCAACAGCACCTGTCCCTGATCCCAACCCAGCCCGCTGACATAAGGCCCTCCATCCATCAATCTATCCGTACCCGTAAGGCACGGAGAAAGATGCCCTACGCAGATGCAGATACAGTGGACGTGAACCGGCGGCTGTGTCTGTGGCCCTCCTCTCCTCCTAGGGCGAGAGGTCAAAGCCCAGGCTGGGGTCAATGACAGCTGTCAGATGAGCCACTCTCGGAGCAATGAAGCCTGTGACAGGCCCTGGAGACTCGAGAGGCCCTAGAATAGCCGTACACTAGAGCGAGAACGACACGACATGCCCTGCTGGCTCGCGATGCAAATGACGCCCAACAGGGTTGCGACCGGCGTGGTTGCGCGATAGAAGGCCCCGTCGGACGACGAGAAGCCTTCCTGATCAAGAGAATTGTGTTTGCGAATGATGCCCTGGCCTACCCCGTGTGTCCGTTCACCGAGCCCCGTGTGGAGATGGGTAGGCAATCGGAGGTGGCCGGGCAAGGGAAAGGGGGGCCGAACGAAGGAAGGAATCGTCGCCGTTGTCGATTCGATGTACGGATAGGTGAAGATTGAATGCGAGCGAGCGCGATGGATGGCGAGCGATAGCGATGATAGCCTTGCAACCCAGTAATAGCACCATCGCCAACCACCCCAGAAGGAGATTTGATCCCGAGTCCATCGACAATCGTCAAAGCAAGTGTCTCAGAAGCTTCCATTCATGCCTTGATGCCTGCCTTCGACAGCTTCTTCCGCCGCGCACAGACGGCCGAGTGGGGCCTGTGGACTTCCGGACCGGCCACGGTACAGGGATGTATTGGCATCAGGGGACGAAGGGCAGGCCAGGGTTCATGGGTGTTGTCTGCGTCATGGGTCCAGTCAGTTCAGTGTCTCTCGACTTTGTGAAAGGTACCTACCTGGTGTACCGTACCATACTTTGCACCTTGTCTCTGCTATATCCAATGTCCAAAAGTCCGCACAGCAGGGGACCTAGGGACGAGCTCCAGAGCCGTGCAGCATCGGGACACTGGATGATGGGCGATGGATGGGCAGGCACACAGGCGTCTCTCGTCTGTCCTGGGCGTCACCGTTCAATCGTTCATACCTGTCTGTTACATCTGCAGACTGCGCTGCGCTGCACTGCACCTCAGTGGGGGACGGGCAAGGGGTAAACACCACCATGCCAGCCCATGCCCAGGTGCGCTGTGGCACTAGTGCTGTTAAGGCAGTGAAAGTGGACAGTCGAATTGTGGAATTGTTCTCCTCTGCCAAAGCACCTGCATCAAACGGGTCTGCTAACTCGATTCTGGACCTGGGACGACGATGACGGAGCGTGGCCTCTGCAAATCTTCACCAAGACGAGAAGGCTCCAAGACAGCTCTTGCGGTGCTTGGACGCGATCATCCTTGATATTCCCTCCCAGATGGGGCATTATTCTTCACCTTCAGGAAGAGGAAAAAAAAAATAGAGATGCATGTGAGGTGGGATGTGGGCGACGGCATGGATTGGATACCCCCCCATCGTCCATCGTCGGTCGCATGTGCAACCGCTGCAGTCCCGTCTGCTGCAAGTGCAACGGATGGCATGGCACGACGGGCATGGATAAGGTAAGATACCTACCTATCTCCCCGTCTTTGTGTTGCCTTGCCTTGGGTGCGGATATCTCTGCGCAAGAGGGACCCGATGCGCGATGCGATGGCTGTATGCAAACAGACCCTGCTTCCAGGCACATTGGCCAACTTCACACCTGACCTGACCTTACACGGCCCGTTCAACAGACATTTCCATCCTGTTGCATTTCTTCAGTGCGTGGCATAAGATGCAGAGTGCATGCCTGCCCAACGCGCCTGCCGGCCTGCCTGTCTTCAGGGAAAAGCATGTACGGTAATTGGCTGACGGGATCTAAGGAGGCAAGAAGAGATGGAAGTGACGGGAGGTACCTACCTTGCCTCCTGCCGCGACAATATTCCAGCGCGCTATCGTCCCAGACAGATGGAGAAGCACCATCGGGGTGCACCTACTTCATCTCACTCACCCTAGGAAGGAAGGGCCAGGAAGAAGCAGAGAAAAAATAAAACAAAACGGTCAGGTACTCCGTACAGGAGGCAGGTACCTTGGTTCCTTCCCTGCTCGCTCTGCGCACGGGTCATGTACCCTCTACTTCCGCGCCTGCATCCACAGCCCAATCTGTCCTTCATCGAGTATTCGTACCTCCCTGATCCAAGACGGGGCAGGTACGTACCCTGTCCACCTCAGGATGGCCCCGGACGCCTCGCTCGCTCACTGGGACCTGAGGTGGTGGTGGACGTGGACTGGGCATGACAACACTGGACACTGGACTGACCGGCCATCTCGCCGCCATGATCCATCCGAACACCCCTTCCCTTGCCCGGGTCTTTTCCCTATCCACGTCCAAGGCAAGGCAAGGCAGGGCAGGGCAGGGAAAGGCAAGGCAGGACAAGGCAGGCCTGGCCAGGGTCCCGTCATGTCCAGGGCACTGTCCAATGCGTCCCTCTTCCAGTGCAATGTTCAGTCTAATGCCTGCCTCTGCCTGCCTGCCTTCCATCCTCATTACATGCTGGTGCACTGCACTGCACTGCATCCACTGCATACCTTACCTACCTCCACAGCCCAGGTATCTCCGTAAGGTAAGGTAGGTGGTAGGTAAGGTAGGTAGGTAGGCAAGTACACCTCACATAACGAATGCCGTTGTACCTGCCTCAGGATGGACCTCTGTGCAAGGTTGAATGAACGCACCTGGGAGGGAAGGCAGGTACTTGCCTACCTACCTACCTACCTCACCCTACCTTACCCTGCCTTACCTTCCCTTCTTTCCCTTTACCTGACCTGACCTTGCCTTCCTGACCTAGCCCCGGGTGCTGCTCTGCGCTGTTCTGCTCACCTCGTCCGTACCAATTCGTCTCTGCAGCTTCCATCTCGACTTATTCATCCCTCCTCCCAGTCTGTCTCTTGTCATTTTGCTGCCCAGCCATCGCCAACTCAGCCCGCAACGGCATCAACGCTTCTCCAACACCACATAATATCTCCGGTCGAGGGTCCACGCAAAACACACACTTGCAGCATCCGCCTCGTCTACACTAGTGCTGCCAACTCCAACACCTCCCTCTTCCCGTCTCTGGCCACCAATCCATCAGCGAGATATCCACACCACAGACCACAGACCTCGTCAACGACTTCATCATCTTCTTGACGCCGTCCAAGACCACACGCCCCCCCTTCCCATACATCTTCCTCGACCCCGTCCAGGCTACCTTGTTCAATATCTCCTCTCGGTTGCATTCCTTGCCTTCCATAACCTTAGACCAGATCCACTGTGGTGCTCGACCAGGACGCTTCAACGGCTTTCAAAAGTACCTCTCCAGTGGCCTGTGTCCTCCTCGTCCATCTCCGTGCTTCATGCGCCACCGACTCGGCCGCACGGAGCTTCATTCAACTCGAGTCTCCCATCGGCTCCTTCCATCAACCTCCGTCTTGAACCATCTTTCTGTTCACATCTCGACTGTCCCCGGCGACAACACCAGGCCCGAGTCCTCTCGGTCAACTGTCCAGGCAAGAGACCCCGTTACAGCTACGACACTTGCTCAACTCTCTCTGAGCTCCCAAACGAGCCTCGTACACACCGTCTCTGGGTACCGACTTGCCTGCATATCGCAAACCTGCTCCAGGGTATTCCAAACTTGGCTTCGTTGACCGCCCCCAAGTCCCGTTGTCGCTTGACAGCTCGCCTACTACCAACGACTGCCACCGACCAGGGGGGGAGGCGACAACCACTGCCAAGGGATTTGCTTCGCGGCACAGACCAGAGCAGCGCAAGGATTACTACTCCTCTTTCCCAGCGACAGGGGCCCGGTCTCGTCCAGTATTTGACATTTTGCACCCTGATATAAGGCACTACCTTGCCTTACTCAACCGTCAACTTCTCTGTCTCTCCAATCCTTGCCCACCTAACCCAAACTGCGAACACTTCCGCCTTCTATTCAACAATTTAGTCTTTCGATACCAGCATTTAACAACTTTGATCGACCATTATTTCTACGGTTGATGGGGTCTTCGCCACCATTTTCTACAAAAGCAATCGTCTTTCGTTCCACGGAACGACAGAAGTTGGACCTCTATTTCCTCAAACTCAAAAACACTATCCAAACGCCTTCGCCATGTCGAGCCAGTTCTACAACTACAGCCAGTCCATCCCACCAAGGCCATTCCAAGGTGATCAAACCATGTCTCAACCAACGCTTGGCCACAATGGAAGCGCGCCAAAGCCGAACCTGTGGCTGCGCATGGTGCAACAACCGCTTAATGCGAAAGTTGCTGGCGGCAAGGATAAAGGTACGTTCTATTGCGCTTGATGTTCTTCGCACATACACCGGCCCTCGCCTGCTCTCCGCCTTGAACTCTGGCCTCTTGCTCGCCCTCTACCTTGCCTCTTGGCTTGGCCTCTGACCAGCCCTCAGTCTGCCTTCTAGCCTATGACCGATTGGAGGAGTAGGCTGGAGGGACGCGAGAAGGTGGAGGGGGGAGGAAATTGAAGACCAGAAACTCGAAAGAGCTTTGTGGCCGAGATCGCCTGTGTAATCATCCTCAAGCCACGAAATCGGGCACTCAGTAGCCGGATGGGGCTGTTGATTGTTTTGCTCGCCCGTGGTACAACATTTGTTGACTAGCTTCGCAGATACCAAGCCCATCGATCCTCCACCCGTTGTCGAGTTGTGCGTCAACAAGAACAATTGGGACTGGAGCAGATATGGAAATCCCGAGGCCGTCGTCCACAACCCTCACCTCTTTCTCACGTGCGAATTGGTCAGCGTCGATTCTAAAGACAACGACAAGAAGGAAAAGACGGATCTCTCCAAGGCCCTTCAAGGGGTGACAGTGTCTTCTTTGCACAAAGTCAAAGACCAGCATGGCAGCGATGCGGCTTATTTCGTTTTCGGCAACCTTTCCGTCAAAGTGCAGGGGACCTTCCAATTACATTTTATCCTCTACGAGATTTTCAACGGGGAGGTTTGTTTTGAATGGGCCGAAGTCCTGTCGGAGCCGTTCGAAGTCCATTCGCCGCGGAGTTTCCCGGGATTGGCGCAGAGCACGACATTGACCAAGACTCTCAGCGACCAAGGGATCAGGGTACGCATTAGAAAGGATTCGCACAAGGTCCGCACTGCAGCAGATACCGCGAGGTTTGCGCAGGCCGTCACTCAGAAACGAAGATTCCACGAGGACTCCCAACCGACCGTCGTCAAACGACACCGCGGCGAAGCAGCCTCAGTCATGCCGCTCCAGATGCCGCTCCAACAAGCAAACAACTACGTTACTTCGGGGGGCTCGCAGCATAGCCCGTTTGATATGGCACAGGTTCAGCAACAGTATGCCATGGCACCGACATCCTTGGCCAGCTACCCTCTTACGCCAGCAGCTACGGTAACACAAAGCCCGCCACTCTGGTCGAACCCAAACACTCTGACGCCGAACTCGGCCGGTGGTTTGACGCAAAGTCCGCCGCTCATGTCGGATCCATACGAAAGCATGATGAGGATGGGGGACAGGGAGGCGTCCTGGAATGCGCATGCAATGTACAGGCCCACATCGCAGATGGGCTACCGATACCCGCCCCAAAACAACGTCAACTAGCAAAAAGTCGAAGTTTTGTACGGCTAGGCGAATTTCGAGTTTCGAGCAACAAGGAAAATGTCAAGTTTTCAACAACAGCAAGGAGAATGTCGAGTTTTCGAGCAACATGGAGTTTACTTGGATCGAATCGATTTCTGCGGAAGCACTGTCCTGGGATTGCATACTTGGGTAGACAGGCGTTACGGGTTTAGGATGAAGATACCCCTGGGTTCCTTGGGCAGGAGAGGCAGCATCTTGGGGGAAAGATGGCACATCACAACACAGCAGCATAAAACATCATTCTTTGTCGACAATGAAGACCACTTCTACTCATTCAGGCGTGCCACTGCGTTGTTCCTGCTATCCATTGCCGCGCCGTGAAGCCACCGGACAACGACGGATTATCCGGGTACTTATCCCTTGGACAACGTTTCAAGTAGTAATGTGGGCGAGTCCAGGAGCTATGGAGGAGTGAGGTGAGTGGTTTTACCCCTGTCCTTGTCCCCACAGCGATGCTACTTGAAACAAGAGTGTGGGAGACAGATTCGGAGGATAGCAAGGGGGTTCGGGGAGGACCCTGATTGCAGCTCCAGCCAGCCAGTATCGAGTCAACTCGAGATGGCCCTGACAAAGAACTATTGACGCACGAAGGGGCCAGACCAGACTGGCGGTGCGAGTAAGCATGTTGTTGTCTGGGTTCATCTGTGGGACACCAAAGGCAGAATCCTTAATTCGAACAAGAAAGGCTAATGGTTGGGCTGGGTACAATCACTTGCAGGGCGTTCTGGCTGCGCAGTCTCCGTGGTGCATGCGCAAGAAGCAATGCGGAAGTTTAAAAAAGAAGACCCGGCATATGACACAGTTTGGTTTGGGAACGAACCCGACTGACTGGGGCAGGTTTAGGTTCTAGGTGAGTGGTTTGGGTAAACGGCCCGTCAAGCCCAAGGAGTCCAAGGAATCCATGATTCAGGTAAGCTTTTGGGGCGAGTCAGGACGATCTGGGAGGCATCAGACGGAGGGAGAAGAGAGTAAAAGTTTATTGCTTATTGATAATGGATTGGAGCTTTGATCGGAGGAAAGATCACAATGCGGAAAAAAGGGAGGGGGAGAGGCTCGAGCGAGTGGTGCCGTGGAACCCATCACACACAGTTTTGCTACTAAGGTACTAAGGCAAGGAAGGTAGTATGTCAGTGTATCCGTCAGAAGGGGATGAAGGTTTGGTGGAAGGGTTCGATGAGCAGCCCTGCAGCGCTCTGATGGCGGATGAGCAGGGCAGGAGGGCCGTGAACACTCGGGGGTTAATCAATCTGAAGCGATGACAGGCAGCGGGTTCCTTGCACGGTGTAGGACGCCTGCCGATTTGGGGACCGCAGCTTCAGCGCATTGCAGGGGCCAAAGATGGGGGTTTTTTTGGTCGAGGCTCAAGAGGGAAGGAGATTTCCGAGAGGCAGTTGCAGTCTGCCGGGTTGACCGAGTAAGGGCGCTCTTTCTGTTTACTCGTTGCGCCTTCTCTTACGGATGAGGCACTCACATGCGAATGAGGTAACAGCGGTGCCTGCCTGCCTGCGACTGCGGCGTCGCGGAGGAAGGAAGGCAGGTGCACCAGGGCAGTGTGGTGTTTCTGTTTCTGCCCCGCTATTGCAGCAAACTTCCATTGAGGTGAGGTGCCTTCCTTCACTGTACGGAATACGGATTGTGACCTCAGGCAATTGAAAGTGGGTGGGTACGTACCCAAGAGTAGGTTGCTTGGTCGCGTTTTCTCTCCCCCTCCTCTCCACTACCAACTCCTCCAACACACCTCCTGCACCGCACCGACGCGATCCACGACGACCGCAACAACACGACATCGTCACCCGCGCGGGAACGCTCCTCCTTGCCTCAATTCTTCTGCTGCAATGAATCACATTTCCAGCCATCGTCAACTGCACAGCCACACCGCATACACTCGTTGCGTCTGACGTATTTGTCACCGCTTCGGTCCGGCAGGCGCAGCGGCCATCCCAGCCAGCCATCCGGACGATCAATCGCTCCCCTGCCGCTTGGCCTCTGCTGAAGAACAATGCAACGCATGAATCTGGCCCGTTGTCGATGTCTTCGAGCCATTCAGTCAGAGCTTACCGATCTCCAATCTCGTCCCGGATGTTCGTCCCTCCATCCATGCCGGCCGTGGCTGTCGTCCCATCTCTGACCACCCGTTCATCCACACCACCTCCGAACGGCCGGACCTGGACCTGGACCGGGCCCCGACTATGACGTGGATGATCCCGACATCTGTCGATGCATGGACCACGAAGGCAGAGATCCGGCTGATCATACGGAATCCAGACGCTGATACAACTCTCTTCGCGGGTACTCAATGCGCCAGCGACGGCGGCAGGCGACATGAGCCTGGCAGGGCTGGTTAGACTCGAGCCGCCTCGTCGATCCTGCCGCTCCGCACCGGCCGTCCTGCGTTCCGGCGCCCGAACTCCGATGACTGTCTCAGGGTTCACAGATCGGGCCGCCTGTCGCGCTCTTTTCTCCGATGGACAGCTCCGCGCCGTTGGAGATCGCTGGCGGGATCATGAGGCTCAAACTAGGCGTTGTCTTGCCTGCCGCGGCCCATTCTGAGGTGTTGGACTCTGAACGCCACCCGCTAGGCTCTTTCTCGGGTGCTGCCGTCACACTCAAATGCTTTGGAGGCTGCCACCGCCCGATTGCCCCGGCCGACAAATGCGACTGTTTGCACCAATCTTTTAGCGCAACGTTCGATAAAACAACTGAATCGCCTGTATCTTAGAACATTAACTGGAGACAGCCGCTGCAGTCGAGATCCAGACCCAAGCAAGATCGAACATCAAGCAACACAGCACCCCGGCGATGGTTCCCTACATCATAGACAACTTGCCTTTTCTGGCCGCCCTCCCGGACAAATCGCCGCATTTGTCCACAACCGTTTGATGCACGCTGCCTCGATCGGAACTCTGCGATGCCGCCCTAAACGTCGAGGGTCCCTCGAACCAAGCGCCAGGAATAATGTGTCCCGGATGCCGGCTGGACGCATGCACACCTGCCGACGACAAGGGCAGGCGAGACACCTTACCCTCCATCTTGAGCATGACGTTCGATCTCGTCTGATGTCCGCCATCCCGTCTTGGTCTGTCAACTTGGGCTGAATACTAGACGACGGTTCGGCTTCTGCCATGTTCCGATGACAGATGACACGCACAGAGCAGCCGCTCTGGCGGAAGACTTGCCTGCCAGAGGGCTTCCATCCATGCGCCGTGTCTCGAACTTCCGCTCCGCCGCCGTCTGTTCGTGGGGGAATGCCACCCCGGCCTCCCTCCCCACACCGCCGAAACCCTGGCCGAACTATGCCAGTGGCTCAGTTGCTTCAGGATCTTTTCTGCCAGAGTCTGGCCTCGCCATGGAATTTTACCGCCTGTTGACTCCAACTTCACACGGCCAGTACCCCTCACGAAGGCCGAATTCGAAATATTCTGCCCCTTCTTCCGCAATCACTGCCCGCTCTGTCAGCGACACAGCGCTGTACAACAGACGGCCTGCTCGCTTGTCTCGCTTGGGCCCCCACACCCTGGGCGATGGAGGGGATCTCCGACACAGCTGACTGCACGCCTTAAACTCTGATTTTTTCTTTTTCCAACTTCCGTTTTGCGGCTATTGACGTTACGAGATCTCGGCTGCGTACAGGCATCTCTGGATGATCGCCATTCGCCTTATTCCGATGCAGTACCGACATGGATTTTGACTCCCCAGCCTGCTGCAAGCCACTCGAGGTGTGCTCATGTACCGGTACAACCACGTTGAAGGCCCGTTGTATTGGGTACATCTGCTGGCGTACCTGAACCGCACATACCCAAGACTACTTCTGCGGTGCAGTGCAGCAATAGCAGACAGCACACCTCCATTGGCCTGCAGATAAGCTTGCATTTACACACCACCGCCCACGCCGTCGACACGCCCTCTTTGCGCCCCCAACGCATGGCGAGAGCTGTTCTGGGTGTGGCGCCAACGTGACAGGAATGCAAAGTTTGAGACAGGCACACGAACTCTGCTGCGTGTGAAATGGACATGACATTGAAATGGGTAATCGACAAGGGCTCAATCCCCGAATCGGCAAATGAAATCCAGAATGGGCCTGGCAGCCATCAGCGTCTATGCCACGTCGGAGAGACAAACGAGCGTCGATGCGCTGGAAGTGATGCCACTCGAGCTCGCCATGCAGCTTCTTGGGTCTTACCGATTGGGACCTGCGCGTTCTCGCGCGATGCAGCCAGTCCGCAATGGGACGACCGTTGATTCACCTTTCCTTCTTTGCCATTATACTCACCGCAATTATGCTCGTCTGATATCTGCGAGCTAGCTTTGCCGTGGCCTAGCATGCTGCTCGCTGCGCTTCTGCGTCAACGGTGGGTCATGGGCGGCTGTTCTCCTTCCCCTCACCGGTCCCCGCCTGCCCACTTGTCTATTTACCCCGGGCTCGAGTTAGGCTGGCTCGCAGCTCTCCATTGTCATGGGTGCGCGGGCGAGGCGGGCGCTGCCGGAATCGCGACTCCGAAAAGTTGAAACATTGTGTGAGGAGGGCCGATTCAATCAGGCCCTTCGGTACGTCGGGGCTTTTTACCCTATGTTGAAATCCCAGGATCTCAGGGAACCCCGGAGTTTGTGCGAAATTGATGGGTTCCGTCGTCTCAAAAAATCGTTCGATTGAAGCTTGAGAAGGGATGCCCCGTTACAATATTGAGCAGTAGCTCATTTCGGTGACATTGATAACGCCGATCCAATCGACGGCCTGGATCGCACAGGACATCTGTCAAACCTCATCAGCGCCAGCTTAGTGTGCCTGCCAATACTCGCCTCTTGGCTGGCAACGAGCCAGGTTCACGTTGGCCGCGTCTCAGCCATGGACTCCCGGACTCCCGTGAAGCTGCCTGCCGCAGAGTCTCCGCACCATTTGTGTCGCGCGTTGCGACGTTCTAGACCCGACAGGTCCGTCATCCCGCCAACACTCTGGAAATACC